CATCCAGGGATTTTGAAGTGATTTGGTATTTATGATTATTTCTTTTTCTGGAAACGCTATTTCATATTGCTTGCAAAATTGACCAAGAAACAAGTTATAAGCATTGTTAGCATCACTTGATTGCAAAATTAAATTCCAATCAACATTATTTTTTAAACAGCATTTAAAATGCTTTAAGGAGTTTTCATTGATCTGTCGCCGAAATATTGTGGATTTTGTGGCAATATTGTTAATTAAAATGTTATTGGTTGCTAAGAATGTTGGAAAATGATCCGATAAATCAGTCTGAATTATACCTGTTACTATTTCAATGCATAATGATTCACAATCTGTTTCATTAACACAGAGGTTGTTACGTAAAATATAATTAAGTGAATCATGGATAAAAATACTAACGCCCCCACCTGCATTAAATTCACGTGGTTGGTGAATTGATGTGTAATTAACTAGATTAAATTCATAATTTGTTTCACCACTTTTACACCAAGTTTCCGCAGACATATAATTTTAAAATCGTGTTTAAGTTCATTTAATAATATTTTCAAATTTTCAATGTTTTTATTCAAACTTCGAACATTGATATTTAAAATTGAAAAAGTGCTTTTATTTTTTTTAAGATGTTGCGAACATTCAGAAACGGAGTAATATTTACTTTCTAACATTTTGTGATTAAGAAAATTTGAGTCGGTGCCATAATCACCGAGAATGTCATTTTCATCCAAAAATTTAATTACGAAATTTTCCTCCATTTTAAAAACAGTTAAATTTAAAATAAGTAATAGTAAAAATAAAATTCTGTTAATTAATAAAAAATATTATGAAGATGAATTTTTGCTTTTCTTTGCAACCCAATCGCGAATTATCAATTTATCATAAGATATGAATGCAAACTTACCAGCTGCTCGTTCGATTTTCATTTTTTCCTTCAAACCTTTTCGAATTTGCGTTGTTTCAGAACAGAAATCCTCGTTTATATAGATGTTTTTCCCTTTCAGATTGCTTGACTTGCTCAGAATTGCAACTTTATCTTTTAACTCCAAAAGTTTTATCACTATTGTTCTCGGCTTATTTGATTCTTTTTTTCCTGTTCTGTGAGCCTGTTCAATTTGGACATTTTTAAGACAAAAAAAAAAAAAAAGCTTTTTAGAATTACTTAATAATCAACATGAAAATATTTAGTAGACCGCGGAAATTGCAAATGAAAATAACACGTTAAACTTTCTTGGCATAACTATTATTAACAATAAAACTAGTACGTACAATTTTAAAGTTTACCGTACAGATGCTATAACTAACTTCCAAACCAAATCTGATGCGATGATCAAAAAATTACAAATGGAATTTTTGATCATCATTCCATTTTTAATGGAATACTAACGGCCCTGAACACTTTATATTTATGCTCTGATAATAATTATTTCTAGGGCTGTTTCAGGTAACTTGAGTATTCAAGTACTTAAGTAATTGTTTAAACCAATCAAGTCCTTAAGTAAATTTTTATTACTTAAATAAGATCAAGTAATTTTTTTTCCGAATTAAATCAACAAAAAATTAATATTTCATAAAAATATGTATAAAAGTCCGGTTTTGTCCGATGTCATAAAAGTTGTCCGATGTCATAAAAGTTGTCCGGTTTTCAATTTTGAACCCTAAAATTAAAGCATTATAACTTTTAGCTTTAATTTTGATTCTTGGTTTTGTTTTACCACATTTTTCAAAAAAAAAAATTATAGTTTAGGCTATCCAAAAAAAATATAAGTTATAAATTATAACAAATCATAGCAGGAGATATGTGTTTACATCTTTCTTATGATCTTGAAGATCATAAAGCATGAACAGTGGAATGTAAAGCCTCCAATGTTGAAACTTTGAATCTTGAATTAAATTGAATCTTTGCGAAAAAAAAATATAACTGAAGAACCTCACCATTTCTTGCTCAAAACTCCAATTTAATAAAAAACAAGGGTTATTAAAATGCTTTTGACTGCATCAAAAAAGAAATGGCTGAATTTGAAGGATCAAATGACCGTTTAAAAATGTTTCAAAAAATTGCACTGTTCTTTAAAGTTTTTATTAGCATCATCAATTGTTACAAAAAGATGCTTTATTGCTCTAGACTTTTTTTTATTACAAATTTGAGAACATCTTTAAGTGATAAATTGATAAAAATTTTAAGTTTTTCGCGTTCTTGAAAGTTTAGTACTACATCACACAAAAATATTAGATGTAATTTTTGATTGTTCGGAAAATAACTAAAATTAATTCAAATTACTTAAGTTACTCAAGTAATTTGAAAAAAATTACTTCAAATTACTTAAGTAATTTTTTTAATGACGTTACAGTAATAAACTCACAAAACGTAACAACTTGTTACGTTTTGTGAGTTTTTATTGTTAAAAAAATTATTAAGATTTACTAAATATATTAATCGTAGTTCTTATAATATAATAACTAAAATATATTGCAAATATTATGACTAAATAAATAAAATATAAACAGAAAAACACTGAGAAAGTCAAAACAAAAAGTTACAAACATTACAAACAAAACAAAAAATTACGTTATGTACTTTTGGCAAAAAACAAAACAAAAAAAACAACATAAAATTAAAATAAAAAAAATAAAATAACAAAATAACAAAAAAATAATAATAATAAATAAAAAAATAATAATACACGGTAGAATAAAACATATATAATAAATAGCCAAAATGAAAATAAACAGAAATAATATAGAGTTCGGTGCAAATTTATAACCTCATCAAAAATTCTCAAAGATCTCACATTTTACTTGATTATTATTTCATTTGTAATAGTCTGGTTTCATTCCGTCAATTGACTTGAAAATTTTAGAAAAATGATAGTGTAAAATTATGACCTTATTTCAGTTTTACTCTACGAAATTCGATGTTTTGTGTTACAATTGAATTTATTATTAACACTTTGTTTTATTGCCGCCATTCTGAATAACTTCAAATATTCGATTTGGCTTACTATCCGATCTGCAAGAGATATGTTCTTCCAAACATGTAGAATTGTCTTTTTCAATTCATCGACATTGTAATATTGTTTCCCTTCTGCATAAACACGTCTTGCAAAGATGCCCCATACGTTTTCGATGGGATTTGAACCATGTGAGAGCGCTGGCCATTCTAATAATTGAATTTTCTTGCTGGTAAACCATGAGATATTTGACTTTGCTCTATGAATTGAAGCATTATCTTGCTGGAAAATAAAATTGCTGTTTCCAAATCTTTGCGAAATTTGTTTAAATGACCATTCAACAAATTTCTATATCTTTTAACATTTAATTTAGTAGTAATAAAGCCAATCGAAGTTTTTCCAAAATAACCGAACGCACCCCAAATCATTACTCCTCCGCCTCCAATATCATGCCAGTAGTAATTGAAGCCATCTGGACCGTCAAGATTGATTTTTTTATCGGACCACACAATTTTTCGCCATTCTTTTTCCTAAGTCAAGTGGCACTTAACCCATTAAAGACAAATGCGCTTGTGCGCTTCAGTTAGTGCTGGAGATGTGCGTTTTTATGCATATCTAAGAACGCATGACTTGTTAATTGCACGATTCACCGTCCATCTTGGGCATTTTAATCCTAAATTAGCGCCTATTTGTCTCGCGGAGATTGTACGACTACTAGTGAAAAGCACAATACGTCGTTGTTGGCGAGCTGTAAGCATAGGTTTTCTACCACTTCGATACTTCGTGCAATAATTTGTTGGATCATTTACGAAACTATTAATCAAACGTGGTGAGCGCCTCAGTTTGCAAGCAACTGCCCTGTTTGATAAATGCAATGACCTGTAGGCTTCGAATAATCTTGCCTTTTTCTTCATCGGAGAGTGTAATTCTTCTTGGCATTCGTTAGAATGTATTTTATAATTCTAAAATGTTATAAATTTAATTTAAAAACGGAAATTACTACTATTTTTTGATGGCTTTTGATGCAATTTAGATAACGAGGTTTCAACTGTGCACCACGGTTTTATAATTTGAGTTAATTAAAGTATAAATAGATTCATGTAAATTATTTTGTTTATTTCAAAAAATGATCAACAATAGAATTCGATCAACAAACTTTGAAAGATAGTTTTAAGGTTTCTTTACACACGCTTAAAAATAGTGTGGACAAAAAACACGACACTTCTTTTTGGCTACACAAATTGTGCACTTCAAGGCTACACTTGTGCGCTTTAAAGCCACACTTGTAATTATGAAATTAAAATTGATTATAAGCGTAAACAAAGGCACACTTTGTGTTGCACTTTCTTGGATTCTCGTATCAAATTATTTGGAAAAGAGGCTAGAATCATGTTTCTAACGACATGTTTTTTTTTATGAACCATTTACAATTTTACTGAAAATTTTAGTGTAACTTTTATTGTTGCATGGTAATTTTAAGCACATACATAGTTAACTTTTTCATAAAGAAATATTTGGTTTGGAATATTTTTGTAATATCGTATTAAATATGTTAAGCGATGAAAATATTGTTTTTCAGTTGTTAAAAATTAGGTAAAACCTTCGGTTTGTAGTACATTACTACATGAATTGGTTGAACTTATGTGACTTTATTTAATTAGACTAATGTTATTATTTATATAAATTGTATTAACATAACTAGTTATGTTGATACAATTATTTTAGTTACGTTAACAACATTATTATAAAGTTATAAAAATTTTAACATAACATTAATTATATAAAATAATAATATTAGTCTAAAAAAAATGTGTAAAATATAGGGTTAAATAAAGTCACATAAGATTACCAGTTAACTGGTAGTCTGTTAACATAACACAAGTAATGTTGATAACATAACTGTAAATAATATTGTTAAATAATGTTGTTAAAGTTAATTTTGTTATGTTATAACATAATGGAAAATATTTAATACATAAATATTATTAAATATAATAATGGTGTCATTTTAGTTAAAATAGCAGCATTTTAGTTATATTAACAACAACTATTTTAGACAATAATAACAGCCGAAATGCCTCAAAATAACAGTCCATCATTGATCGGCTGTTATTTCGAGGCATGATATTGGTAATGCTGCTTTATCAGTTTTAAATGACATTGGAGCAGATTCCACTCTATTATTGTTTAAGAGTAAGTTTGAAAGTAGTGTTATACATTGCAATGAGCCACTCAAGTTTCTTGACACGTTATATAAACAAGATAAACACTTAGAAAAAAATTATCTTTTTGTAACTCCTGAAACATGCAACATGAGCCCTCCTAGATATGAAACTAATGAGGGAATTTCAAAGATAGTTTCATTTCATTGAAGATGTATCAAGTTATATTACATTGCATGATGGCTTTAACACTTGCAAACAAAACATTTTGTTACTCAATGTTCAAAAATACTTTGTCAGAAGACGAATATAATGGAGGTATATATGTCTACTACCCTAAATGGGGAGAATGAATAAATAAGAACTTTATAACTTAAATGTGAATTTTTACAACATAATTGTCAATCTGCATAAGTACTAAGTTGCTGCAACTTGACTATGTGTCAATCTGCAAAAGTGCGAAGTTTCTCTATCTCATCTTATTTCATTTATTAGTTCCTAATGTAATACACCCTTTTAATCCAAAAGAAGGTTTTTTTATAATCTACCTATAAAAGTTTATAAGTATATACAAGTTGTTCCCTGATTTATTTTTATTTTTATTCAGAAGATACAACTTTGCTTGCATTTAAGGCGCTCCCTTTTCTTCTGATAGCACCTCCACAGAAGGGCAAGAAGAGTCCAAGAATGGATCTTGATGCAATTTTGGCTTTATTTTATAGAGAAATGGATGTAGGTTTTTTCTATACATTTTTTTAAAGGGGCCATCCATAAAGGACGTCATCCAAATAGGGGGGAGGGGGTCGAGTTAAAAAGGATAAGGAGAGGGGGGAGGTTGTCGGAAAAGGACGTCACTTTATAGATTTTTTATTTTAGTTTAATTATAATGAAAAACTACGTAAACAAGTGTTTTTGAGAAGATAATGAATAAGAATATTTTTAACTTGATTTTTCAAAGGTGTAGCAGCAGATTCAAACATCAATGCAAGATGAAATAAATTTTTTTGGAGTTAAAAATAGGGAGGGGGGTCAGGATTTTATGACATCCTTTTCCAGGGGGTATAGGGAAAAAGGAAAACCGGTGACAAAGGGGGGGAGGAGGAGGGGGGGGGGGAGGGTCAAAAAATGGCTACAAAATGGTGACGTCCTTTATGGATGGCCCCAAAGTTAAATTTGGTTTATAATCAAAAAGTATTACTTTTTTTCTGCATTTTAAAAATTTTACTTAAACATTTAGGTACACCTCAGTCTTGAAAGCTCCCATGAATTATTGAAGAAGGAGAAAGTTTTTCAACTGATTTTATTCAAATGTTGCGGCACTCTATTTATAATTCTAATTATAACTCTAATTATAAGTCGATAATACAGCTATACGGTTGGAAGTCATACCGAGTATTAGATTTGCTTTTGAGTTGCTGCTAGTCTCTTATTATGTATTTAATGTCAAAATCCCTCATGAACTTATTTGTGTATATGGATTTATGGGAAATTTGCTTGGAATAAACAGCAAAAGAATTATCGTCAATTCCTTTTAAAGAAAGTATTGCCAAAAGTTTAAGATTAAATAAAGCAATATGTTTGTGAAACGAAAAAGTATTTTTATCACTTTCTCGTTTATTTTTGTTATATCGTCAGCCGAGAACCAAGAGGCCGTATGTCCATTTTTTGTTTTTCCAAGAAAATCAAGTTTTAAATTTTAATTCGCGAAGACTTTCTGCCAGAAAGTTCGACTGATTATTTAAATATTTCCTAAAATTTTATTGGTGTGGTATATTTATGGAACACACACTCCTGAATATTTATTGATAATCGACAAAAAAAAAAAAAAAACACAAAATGTTGACATACAGTTCTTCTCTGACGGCGATATCTCTTTTTCAAAGTTTTAAATTCGCTTTAGCATATAAATGTTTTAAGATTTATTTTTACTTTAATATTCACTGAATTGAGTTTAAGTTTTAACTGAGTTTATATACTTAAAAGAAATACTATAACAATGCATTGACTCGGTATTAAAATAAAATTTATATTTCAGTTTTTATTATTTTATTGTGATATCATTCCGTTATTTCTTGTAAGCCAATATGATATACATGTGTAGTTTAGTATATGACTCTAAATGACAATGTGTAATTTAGTATATGATATAAATAACATGCTTTATTTGAATTATTAAATTGCGCCCGGTTATATACATAGTACGCGAAGACCTAAATGGACGGAATAAATCACGCATAAATATACTTACAAAAATTCAAAATATTTATAACGTCTAGAAAAACACAGATTAGTGTATATACTATAGTGTTGCATTTAGCGCAAAACTAATTTTGAGGTTTTTTTACAACAGTTTTGTCGCGCAAAAAGAGCGTATATATATAGCTCTTGATTAAATGCAACAATTATGTCGAAAAAATTTCTACAAAAGTGTCGCATTAAAGGCCACAAAATGTGGCTTTTAAGTCTACATTTTATGTAGCCTTACGAATGCAACACTGAGTGTGGCTTTTAAAGCCACATAGTGTTGGTGTAGCCAGCGTCGACACTCATTGTTGTATTCTACGCGACATAATGTAGCCTACGGCTCAACACTATTTTCAGGCGTGCAGGTGAGGTTAAAATTCTGCGCCCCACTGTACAACTGTACAAAAAATTTGTATATCACTATTTAAAAATAATTAATAACTAAAAAATAAATCAATAAATAACTAACAAAAAATAATAGGTAAAACTTTATACGTTAAAAAGCTAAAGCAAAAAAAAAAATCATTGCTACAAGACCGCATAACAGCATAACTAAAAAATAAATCGTAAATAAAGAACTTTTCCTTTTTTCTTTTTTCCTCTTTAAAAAAGTTATTTTTAACCGTTAGAAAAAAGAGTCCACCATTTACAATGTCATTGCGATGTAAGAAGATTTATATATATAGGGAAAAGGTGCCTATGATGGCATACTTAACTTTATTATTCAGTGTCCTGAAGCTTCATTATTCAGTATCCTGAAGACCAAGAACAAAAGTTTTGATATGGATACATTATTGTAGAACAATAATAACCTTTTTTATCAGTTTTATTTTTTTATTAATTATTTTTGTTTAAAAAAAAGCATAAGTATGCCATCATAGGTAAATACTGCTCCTATGATGGCATAGGGCAGAATGGGGTTGGTTAGCATCAAGGGTAACTTGACAATTTCATTTGACCAAAGAGTCTTTCCTCAGAAATGCCAGAAATTACGTGTAATCATACTAATTAACTGATTCGTGCTACACAGCAGCAGTGTCGAATTTAGCGCATGCGCATAAGAGATATTACGTTTTATGCGTTTTTGGAACCACAATATTTTTAGTAAAGTAAAAATTCCTTTTTACTTCAATAACAAGTATGTTGATTTTTTGAAAAAAAAAAAAGGTTTTTTCCATTCGTCAATATTGCAACACACCTAACTCGTCAGTATGCCATCATAGGAAGAAGTCATCATTTTCATTTAAACAAGCTGTGTCTACCTTGTTCAAAAGATAAAATTAAAGTAAGTATTCTACTAAATGCACAAAACTTGGAAATAAAATGCATGAAAATTTTATTTCTGCACAGTTAATATTAAAATCACAATCTTGAATACTTAAAGGAATTAAAAATACAACAACACATCCCAAAATCGATTTTTGTTGATTATAAAAGCAATATATATATTATATATATATATATATATATATATATATATATATATATATATATATATATATATATATATATATATATATATATATATATATATATATATATATATATATATATATATATATATATATAGGCTTGGTCGGGAAGCAGGTGCGATCGCACTCGATAACTGACCACGGAAATAATATTTAGTTGCGAAAAACCGGCCAGATATTTTAGTCGTTTTGATAACATTTAATTAAATGCATTGTTTTATCGTAAATTTTGAAACATTTTGTTTTACGGACATACATGGAAACTTACATAAACTCGACATCTTGTGCGGAAGAATAAAAAAAAAAAAAAATTTCGTCAAATCTACGAACAACTAATTCTATTGGTTCAAAAAATACTAACCGAAATTTCTAGAGTATTCTGTTGAAAAATTAAAAATTGTATTATTTGAGTTTTGTTATGTTTTCGTTGAGATTGCTAGCATAAAATGTTTTAAGAATATCAATCGAACTATTACTTTAATTCTCGGAGCCACATCTACAAAGCTGTAAATGTTTTAAACTAACATTATTTGTTTACAAAAATAAATGGTTTAAATTTATCTTTTTTAACTTGTCAACGCTTTGTGAATATATTACAGATTTTATTAGTATATTCTTATTTTTTATATAAGGGATGTATTTTTTATGTATGTAATGTATTTTTTATGTATATATTGTATTTTTATGTATGTATTTTTTATACATGTAATTTTATGTATGTGTATTTTATTCAAATGTAATCTTTTAAAGCTATTTGTGCGATTGATTTTGTTAATAACTTTTATTAATAACTGCGTTTTCAATGAAATTAATAATAGTCATCAAAGTTAATACAAATAATTTTAATCACTAATCCAATTTCCTCAGTGTACCCGATAACTGATTCTTTCCCTTAAGAAAGAAAGTTTTTAAGTTCTTAGAAATTGGTTGACTAACTTCAATTATTTTTGCTTCAGCCATTTTTACAAACTCGTTATACTTCAACTTAAAGTTACTTTTTTCTGTTTTAAATACTAATTAAAATTATAAAGCCCACACACTAAACATTACTAACTTACTAAACATCATCGGCGGTATTGTAAAGCAGTTCCGCTTCCTCCTCACATAGTAATTTAACGTTTTTAGTTAATTTCTATTTAGCTAATTGAATTTCTACAGTAACTCAATGATTTAATTATTTCATTTGCTCATCTTACTAAGAAAAATTGTTTTAAATGTGTTAAACTTTTCAAGCTACACGAATCATAAAACAGTTATTGAAAAAACTTTTTTATTTATAAATTTATCACCTAGCGTTAGTTTTATTGGTTGAATCTTGTTGGACTTTTTAGGGCCGGGGACTGCATTATTTTGGTGGTCTTTTTTATGTGCCACAGCGTAAAAATGACTGAAAAAAATACCTATTATTCCTCTTGACTATTTTGGGGCCCCTAACATTGTAAGTTACGAGGCTATAGCCCTTCTACTCCCCCTTCCCTACCTCCTAAATCCAGCACTGTAAATAAGACATAAGTATATAAATAAAAACTATATATACTCTTTGATAAATCAGAGAATAAGTTTCCTTATTAAACAATCATCAATAGTAAGTTGTTACTTAATATAAAAAATGTCACTTAATTTTATTTTAAAAAATTATAAAAGAGCGACATTTCAAAAATATTTGCTCTAATAGTATTTATTTTGCTTAAAGTTTTTTCGCGTTAAAAGCTATTTTTCTTTTATTAACTGTCTCTCATCGGTACAGTCCAGTTAATCTCACTGCGCTTTTTTGTTTGTTTTTGAAATGTTCTCAAAACAACTAAAAATATGGCCGGTTTTTCGCAATTAAATATTATTTCCGTAGTCAATTATCGAGTGCGAACGCACTTCCCAACCGCTTCCCAACCAAGCCTATATATATATATATATATATCTATATATATATATATATATATATATATATATATATATATATATATATTATATATCTATATATATATATATATATATATATATATATATATATATATATATATATATATATATATATATATATATATATATATATATATATATATATATATATATATCTATATATATATATATATATATATATATATATATATATATAATATATATTATATATATATATAATATATATATATATATATATATATATATATATATATATATATATATATATACTATATATATATTATATATATATATATATATATATAAATATATATATATATATATATATATATATATATATATATATATATATATATATATATATATATATATATATATATATATATATATATATATATATATATATATATATATATATATATATATATATATATATATATATATATATATATATATATATATATATATATATATATATATATATATATATATATATATATATATATATATATATATATATATATATATATATATATATATATATATATATATATATATATATATATATATATATATATATATATATATATATATATATATATATATATATATATATATATATATATATATATATATATATATATATATATATATTATATATATATATATATATATATATATATATATATATATATATATATATAGTGCTCGTAGTGGATAAAAATAAGTAACGGGATGGTATTTGGTAAATTAAAATTACTATTCCGCCTAATCATTGTTATATATAGAGATTTATAAAAAATGGCGGGATTGTTTATACTTTATAAAAAGGTGACGGTATGACATCCCGCCTCACTTCGACCACTGCATATATATACTGCATATATATATATATATATATATATATATATATATATATATATATATATATATATATATATATATATATATATATATATATATATATATATACATATCAGGGTGTCCACATAAAATTTTTATAAGAAAAAGAGGCTATTAAAGAATTATAGAGGAAATTTTGCATTTAGTTTAGAGGATTTTTTTCGCAAAACAACAAAATATTGATGAAAAATAGAGGATTTTAGAGGATTTTTTTTTCAAGGTTTAACGCCTATGTTTCCACATAACTGGGGTTTGGACAAGGGTCAACAATGTCATTTTTTGTTAGATGACATGGATTTGCTAAAATTGATTTTTTACATGCCAATTCTCATTTCAGACGTAACGCTGTTTTGCAGACCATGAATTTTGGACATTATATTACCATCAAGAAATAAATAAAAATAAAAAAGAGGAGTTAAAGAAGAGATTTTATGATATTTTTAACATTTTAGAGGATAATAGAGGATTTTAGAGGAAGTTTTTGAAAAAAGAGGATTTAAGAGGATTTTAGAGGAGCTGTGGCCACCCTTTATATATATATATATATATATATATATATTATATATATATATATATATATATATATATATATATATATATATATATATATATATATATATATATATA